CGAGTTTAGTTCAGATTACTGATAACCTGTTTTCAAAATGAGGGAAATTATATCCAGTCTCTCTCCCCCTTGTAGAGCGAAGATATACTTGATAATGGATGAGAACCTTACTTTTACCGGGACTGATACTTGAGAGTGCCAGGCTAGGAGTTTTTGGCTTTGTGTGTAAATCATCCAAAAGAACAAATTAATGATTCTCATTACATTGCAAATCTAATATACTCAGCACTGTTCAAAGGGCTCTTTTAGAGATATGTGAGAGAAACAAGCAGAAAAGTTAATGAACTTGAATGCAACTGGATAAATGTTTCAGTCATCAAAGTATTTTTGCTGAATGTCTTGTTTTAGGCAGGCTGTGCTAGGTGATAAGGGGACACAAAAAAGAGTTGCAGGTTCCTTTTAAAGAGCTTCAAGTCTACTGACAGCAACAGAAGTGTTTGTAAGTGTAAAAGAAGACAGAGAAGAAGTGCACTATGTACGTTCGATTGAAAGCTTTGTGCATCATGACAGCATTAATACATTTTCTTTTTTACTTCTGTTTAATGTTCTAGTGAGAAATCATACTATATTGATTGACTTGAATCTCTTGTCAAAAATGATTAACTTTATGGTCTCCTAATACTTGCTAAGATGCAGTCTGTTGGTGATTGCTGTTGGTTGCTAACTTGGTACTACCTTCATTGGAATTTGAGCAGTATTACAGTTGACAGATTTTCAAAACTTTATTTATTTTGAAAGAGAGAGGGAGAGAATCCCAAGCAGGATCTGTGCTGTCAGTGCAGAGCCTGATGTGGGGCTCAATCCCATAAACCATGAGATCATGACCTGAGCAGAAATCCAGAGTCAAGACACTTAACCGACTGAGCCACCCAGATGCCCCAGTATTTTAAAGTATATTTTTTGGTGTGACTCAGAAGTGTCACCTCATGGTTCAGGACTTAATAGAAAGAACAGGAAAATAGATGGTATATAGTAGATATGTTAAGCCTCAGAGTTGTCAGCATACTGGGAAGTTTGCAAAGCTTTGGAAAAGAAATTTTTCACTAGAGAACTTGGATGGTCTTGTCCTAACTTGTTTGAAGCCAGGGACGCTATATTTTGGTGCTAGTTGTCTCCTACAAAGGTTCTCAACCCATGACCCTCAAATAGATCTCCTCTTTTCTCAAATTGTTTTTCTGCTGGGCATCTGCAGCAGTTGGCATGAAGTGCTAGAGAGTTCATGTAACACCAGGCTACTTTGCTGATGAACACTTTGCCCTCAGTGCCTGCTAGGAGTGAAATTAATTAGACTGGTGCTGTCCTAGTCAATTTCCCTCTCAGCAGGTTGTGTGGTTAGAGCTCCTCAGAGTCTAAGGCTGATCTTACTAGCTGCTGGGTTGGACATTTCTTTAAAATTGGAATAAAGGTGATATTATTTAAAAAAAAAAAAAAAAAA